AGTCAATTCCCTCTCTTTGGATGAATCCTTTTTTTACCAATATAGCATTAAATCTTTTGATTCTTTCATCCTTATCCTTCTTTGTTTTAAATACCCATTTCGAGCCTACCAATTTCTGGCTCTTGTGAGGTTCAACTAATTCTCATGCTTGATTATTCTTCATGCTTTTGAGTTCATTCAACATTGCTTCCCTCCATTTGTCTGCATTCTTCATAGCTTCTTTAAAACTTGTTGCATCAACCTCATCTCAAATGTCAAAATCTGCTTCTTGTAAGTACACATAATCCAAAATTGCTGTGGATCTTCTTGTTCTATCAGATCTCATTAATGGCATTTGGTTCGGGTGAATTTTCTTGTTGTGTGTTTTCTGTAGTTTGTTCTTCTTTTTCTTGTTGATCAACTAGTTCTTCATACTGAACAACCATCCTCAACAATTCTAGTACTATAATTTGGACAGTAAAATCTAGAACCCTTTGACATTGCAGGATAACTAATAAAATGACAGCAAATCATTTTAGGATCAATCTTCTCTCTTGAGTTTTATAGATTCTTAGCTTCAGCCTTACAACCCCATACATGAAGATGTCACAGGCTAGGCTTTCTAGTAGTCCAAAGTTTGAAAGGTGTCTTAGGCACGGACTTGCTAGGCACTCTATTAAGTATGTAGTTTGCTGTTTTGATCGGTTCTCCTTATAGACTCTTAGGCAAATCAGTTTTAGAAATCATGCTACGAACCATATCCTTCAAGCTATATCAAAACCTGGCATTGTGTCCTGAGCAGCTATTCCATTATCTTGTAGATACCTAGCAAAAGGTCCGGCTCGTCATCCTCCTTCATCAAAACGTCCATAATATTCACCCCCTCTGTCTGACCTCACAATTTTGATATTTTTCTCAAGCTTCATTTCTACTTTAGTTTGAAATTTTTTGAATATTTTAAAGCTTGAGACTTTTCTGCTATGAGATATATATAACCAAAACAAGAATGGTCATCTATAAAGGTGATGAAATAACGATTTCCATCAATTGTTTGATAAGGGAAAGGTCCACAAATATCTGTGTGGATAATTTCTAAAAGATCACTACTGCGAGTTGCACCTTTCTTTTTAGTCTTAGTGAGTTTTCCTTTAACACATTTAATATAAATTTCGTCATCATTGAAAGTTAGTAATGGCAAGATTTGTTCCTTAATAAGAATTTTCATTTTTTTCTTTTGAAATGTGTCCTAAACATCCATGCCATAACCTAGTGGATGTTCCTTCACTTCTAATCTTTTTCTCACTCGATTCAGCTATTAAAACTTCACCATCTTTATTGTAATTGAGACAATATAATCCATATTTATTGTCTTTGAATTCTGAGATACAAAAACATCTTTGTTAAATCCAAAATAAAACCAAGTCTTAATAATCTTGAAATAGAAATTAAATTTCTCTTTATTTAGGGTACTGAAACTACATCATCCAACTCTAAAATAAATCCTGAATCCAACTTAAAATCAACTACTCCAATAATATTTAATGAAAACAAGAGGTAGCTATCTAATCTTCCTTGTCACAACATGCTGCCATGAAAGTGTTGTTCTCCCTAGTAGGGAATGGGTCAAGTACCACTATCTCCCTATTAGTGGTGGTATTGAAAATCTCAACAGGTGATTCAAGTTGGGGCGTAGGTTTCACAGACTGCACTAGGAGATTCTTGTATCGAAGTAGCTTATTGTTGTTTCGTACTCTCTCATAAGTGCATACATTGAGCTTTACAGCGATCTTGAGACTTCTGAGACTGTCCTTTGTAGCCGTGTATATCCTTATGGGTCCTTCATAAGGTGTCACTACGCCTTAACCTTTTTTCGCTCCAGCTCATCTTCATTCCGCTTCTTAATTAGCTCAACTATATTCTTTACTAGAATTCCATTCATGATTAGTTGACATGAGTGGCTCCTATTAACCGCCAGATGCTTTTCCTTTTCTCTAAGCTCTAGGAATTGTACTATAAGATACATAAGCTAAATGGCTAGGTTGAATTAAATATAATCATGAGTGAGATCATAAACGATCTCATTCATTCCGAGAATAACTTCGAAATCAAACTTCCATATTTTGAAGTTCAATCCAGTGAATCTTTCAATTTGCGAGAAATTGATTGATGGAGTGTTCAAAGATGTAAGGATTTGCAAAAGAAAGCATAATTACTTTCCAAGAAACCGATTCTCAATTTATTAAGAGAAAACAATTTTTCTGTTTAACTTTATTCACAAAACTAACAAAAAACATATGCAAGCTTCCTTAATTAAGTATCACACCTTTGTGGTAAGAGATTACTTATAGCTTACGCAAATTACGCGTTATCTTGTGCTATCACAAACAAATTACAGGATAGATTCTATTTGTTGAAGAAACTTATCAAGTAATTTAGGTATGATGCAATTTTTGGTTATTTCTTTAGGGTTTGAGTATTTAGGTTTGGTTTTGTTATGAAAAATTTGTTGATTCTTAGAACAAAGACAAACACCTATCTAGCTCAGAAAATAACCAAACAAACACAGTTCAAAAGAGAAAACCATAAATTGCAGTGAATAGTAACTTCTGCCTTGAACAGTGTTTTAGGGGTTTTTAATGTTTGTTTTTGACGCAAAATACCTTTATAAATAGGGAATGACCTAATTAACTCAACACACAATTTTTTTTTTTTTTTTTTTTTTTGTGATATGTGGGCATTTTTAGGGTTTTCAGGTCATCTGGTAGGTAAAAAAACATGTTTACAGTTTTGAAGATAAGAAAAATCAAATTAAAACATGCCTTTCCAAATTCTTTAATATTCTTGATACTTTAGAAAACATGTTTAATCCATCTTCAAATTTTAAACATAACCAAAAACTCATCATGGCATAAACAGATAAGAAATCGTAATAGGCATGCTTGAAAAAAGATTTCAGTGTGTGCGAATAACCATGTGCTTTGATACCAACTGTTAGATTTATTTATATGCGTGTTCATGATCTTTCACACAATTTGAAATACGTAAAGACATACTTGGCGCCATCTTTCTTGAGTATACGACCTCTGAACTCATTCAATAGCAGTAGCAATAATCCCAGCAAGAACATGAATGACTCAAGACTTCTGCTCTATCTCAGAATCTGTTTCAACTCTTTCTTTATGATGAGATTAGGGTTAAAGATCGTGTTTGATGAGAGCAAGGCCTTAAGCTTATATAAGGCTAGGTTTAGTTGTCTCTACTCATCACCGAAGGCTGACTTGACTAATCTTTCAAGCCCACCAAAACGGTTCAAGCAAAAAAGGAAATAAATAGGGCCCCTTAATAGGTTTCAAAACGTTTCCTTATTCCACAAGGTTTTGGGCCTGAAGGTAAAACTTAATTTAAACTCTTATCAAAACCTGATATAACTTAATATCTAGTGCACCAATCTGAATAGGAAACATAACATCTAAGCATCAACTTATGTCTAGGTTAGATCATTTGAGTTTATTATTTCAAAGCTCTTTGAAGAAAAAAAGAAAAAAAAAACGCAGCAACCTGTTATGATTGAGTATTGTCCCACGTTAAAAGTATGGGACCTAGCATATGACCTCATAGGATAGGATTATTTGTCAAAACTTTACCTTGGCAATTTCACAAACCCACTTACTAATGTAGTTTGAGGATCACTAGGCCAAAAAAAAAAAATGTAGTTTGAGGATCAAATTCGGATGTTTCAAAATGGAGAGACCACCAATGTGGTTCAGGGTATACCATATATAGAAAGCAAGAAAAGATCACTGTTTTCAAGTGGCCAAAATCCAAAGGCAAAATCACCAGATGGAGAAAGCCATGATGTATGAGGAGTTAGATGAGTTGGTTTCTTAAATCAAAGAATCCCTTGGCCTATTGTTGAGCATGAACACAGAGTTTTATTTTAGTTTTTCTTACGCACGATCACTCCATCAAATGTGCATAACAATCACTTTGATCAAAACTAAACGAATGAAAATTGAATTTTGGAATTTTTTCTTAAAAGCTTGAATTAGATTTTGTAACATCCCACATCGACCAACGGAGATGGGGTGATGTGCCTTGTATGTACATGCCCACCTCCATCTAGCACGAGGTCTTTTAAGAGCTCACTGGCTTCGGAGTCATGGGAACTCCGAAGTTAAGCGAGTTTGGGCTAGAGCAATCCCAAGATGGGTGACTCACTGGGAAGTTGCTCGTGAGTTCCCAAAAATAAAACTGTGAGGGCAGGGGGCCCAAAGCGGACAATATCGTACTACGGCGGAACTGATCCGGGATGTGACAAGATTAGGGCAATCAGGGACAAAAAAAAAAAGTGTGGCACAAGGCTCAAAGTTGAATCATGTGAGAAATAAGAAGCAAGCATAAACTCAGGGCTTTGTGAATGAATAATTTAATTGAGGGACCAAAATATAAGTCATGTATAAGCTCACATTTCGGAAACCTCCTCCGATTCTCTTAAATAAACTAACCACTACATAAATAAGCTCACATTTCGTGGAAACTATCTGGGGGAACATAAAATCTTTTCTAAGAAAAGTAATGATCTGAATGTCAGAGTAGACGAGAAAGATTCAAAGATGTTTGATAAACTAGCCGGCCATGGTGTCATTGTCAGGTTTGGTTTTGAATGATATATGAATGTTTCTGTACGCAGTTTCATGCACCACAAAACTTAAAAAATAAAAACTTACGTAAGAATTTTCATTGACAAAATGGGATATCATCACGAAAAATCAAAAGCTAGGTGTGATAATATAGAAATTAATGAAGAACATGGTAGGACATTATTTTTATTGTGGCATTGACCAGAGAATCATCCATCACAAAGGCTTGATAGCATCATAACATCTGTTTATGTTCAAAGTTTGAAACCTGACTAACAATAAAAAGTTTTTTTATTTTTATTCTTCTTGTTTCAGCTAATGGAACTAAATGGGAAAGGACCTTTTTGTTTTGTTTTTTTGGGCAACATGAAATTCATTAGATAAGGAAATTATGGTAGATAGTCCAATGATATAGGATCACAAACACAATCCCATAACAAAAGGCCCAACCACACACAATAAACAAGATCCAACAAAATGAAAAAAATAACAAAAGCCCAACAAAACAAACAAACTAGGCCTAGCAAAATAACAAACAAACATAAAAAAAACCTAGCCGCCGCCACATGGAAGGAGAACCACCAGTCTGCACCAGCACCGAAGGAACCCAACAACTCCACCATCAAGATAACACCAAGAACAAAGAACATAGCAACTCGAAGAGATGTCTTGGGAGGATGTATACAGCCTCCAGCGACCAATAAGCGACAAAAGCGCTTTAAGGAGATTCCAAAATCACGCTCCAACAGATGCCAACATGGAGCCATGGATCTGAAGAGGATGACACAGTAGAGCGGAAGAGGTTGTGTGAATTCGAGTTGAGCAAGGAGCGATCCAAGATATGAGTTTTGGGACAAGGAAAGGAAGAGGAGATGGGGAAAAAAGAGGAAAACAACACTGGCTATGGGAAAGGGTGGATAAGAACCACTAGAAATGAGCATAAAGCCCAAGCAAAATCACCACCAGAGGGAGAGGAGACTCTCAAACAGAGAGGGTGCAAACCAAAACGCACGAGAGAGGGCAGAGAGAAAAGTTGGGAAAGTCGACCCTCATTTGATGATATTTGGAGAGATTTTAAATGGGAAAGGACTTGGGGGAACTGAAACTTGAACTATTCCTTCAAGCATCGGCATATATAATATAACCTTCTTCATAGTAGGTCTCACTGCAGGGTCTTCTTGGATGCACCAAATGGCAACCATCACAAATCTCTCAACTTTGTTCATATCATTCATGGGATGAGTGAGGAGATGATGAAATTGTTTGGAGAAAAGAAATAGAAAGAGGAAAGGAGCAGAACCGAGAAGGAAAAAAAAAAAATTAGAGTCGGATCGAGAAATTGGAAGTAGAGTTGCCGCAAGTCATGGGCTGTGATACCACATAGAAATGTGTGAAAGTGTGCTTTTCATTGATAACAGTGTAGAGTATTTATACACGAACAATGGTGGAAAACCAACGGATGCTTGAAGCACTAATCTAGTCTAATAATAGAAAAGATAAAGACAGCAGCTTCACAACTCAGTAATCTAATAACATACTAACAAGACCATACGTATATGTTTGAACCAACTTTACAACTCATTGCGGTGGGTTGCACACGTGTCTTCTGTTGAAGTAACTTTGGTGGGTTGCATGTTATTCCTTTTAGGTTTCAGGCTGTTCTGGTATACGGAGATGGACATGGAGGAACATGTACTTCCACCACGCCTTCAAGCATCTGCACAACTTTCCTCATAGTTGGTCTAAGAGATGGGTCTTCTTGAATACACCAAATACCAATCATCACAAGCTTCTTTCTATCATCCAACGCCTCAACTTCATAATCAAGAACAGCATCTAATATCCCTTCACGGTAGCAATCATACACCCAATCTGTTAAAATTGCTCTCTCTTCACAGCTGTTTTCCACATCAACGCTTCTCCTACAGCAAATGATTTCAAGCAGCACAACACCAAAGCTATACACATCAACTTTGGCAGTGATTGGCATGTTCCTGAACCACTCAGGGGCAACATACCCTTTTGTTCCTCTAATGGCAGTATGAGTGTGGCTCTGATTCATCATCAAAAGCTTTGCCAATCCAAAATCAGAGATCCGAGCAGTGTAATAATCGTCAAGCAGTATGTTCTGAGGCTTTATATCACAATGGATGACTTGGGTGCTGCACTCTTCATGCAAGTACAAAAGTCCTTTGGCAACTCCACAAGCAATTTCAATTCGCTGCGTCCAACTGGGTTTTGTATCAGCAAAAAGGTAGCTTGCTAACGTGCCATTGCTTAAGAACTCGTATACTAGCAATCGATGTTGCCCTTCGTCACAATACCCAACCAGGCAAACTAGATTCTTGTGATGTGTCTTACCAATTACGCGCAGTTCTGTCTTGAATTCCTTCTCACCATCTTGTATCACACAGTTTAGCTTCTTCACTGCCACTTGGACACCAGAACCAATTTGTATTGTCCCTTTGTAAACAACTCCAAACGCACCCCTTCCTAATTCTTCTGTGAATCCATTTGTAGCTTCTTGAAGCTCTCGGTAACTAAAAGAATACAAATTTGAGTCCAAAATATTTTTGATAGACCTTACTTGTTTCTTCCGGAAAACGAAGAAAAATCCCAGACAAACAGCAGCACTAAACATAAAACTAACAAAGATAGAGGTAGCCAGAATTACGGATTCCACGGGTATCAAAGTGTTACTGCTCTTCTTCTTCTTATCATCTGGATTTGGCATTGGAGAAAATTGTAGAGTTGTGTTATCCTTTCTGACTTTGAAGAAAGCCTTTGAATTAAGACTGACATCCACTCTCCCATTTGAGAGAGGTAATTTCTTTTTCCAGCAGGTTTCATTCCTGAAAACAGCAACAGCACACAAACAATCTTGAAAGCAAGATTCATTGCACTTTTCTGCAGTAAAAGGTCTGAACTGCGCATAATCTGATATTGGCCAATCAATATTTGTCATCACGATTACATCATATGGATCTTTTGTGGTAGTAAGCTCATCTTCTTCACAGCCTTGTATGAAATCCGGTTTGCAGCTCCCGAATGGTTCCTTTGGATCAAGTAAAGAGAATCCTCTTGGGCATTGACAGGTTGGCCTATTATCAGCGTTGAGCTTGCAGATACTGTTGTACCCACAAATACCAAAACCTGAATCTTCTGTAACTCTTCGGCAAATATCATCTGGCTCTGACCACAGAAGAGTCCAGCTTACATTTCCAGTGAAATTCTTTGGGTGATAATATTGAGCAAAAATCCCATCAAAGTTGAGAGTTGCTCTAATATAGTTGTCCCTTGCTGAGACTACCTCTTCCCCTGCAAGATTGTGCTTTCCACCATTCTCTCTCAGAACATACAAGTAGCCTGAGACATTGAAAACCAATTCTTTACCTTCACTACCTGCCACAGTCCCTGAGGTAGTGTCGGTTTCATAGTAAGGTTCGTTGGCAAATTCTGTTGGCAAGTTTATGGTGCTGAGCACAAGTTTCCCATCTTCTTGCAGAAGCAGCTGGAACCGTCCCTTTGAATAGTCAGTCTCCGAATATCGAGATGAAAGCTTCCCACTTCTTTCAATTTTCTGTCCAGGCAACAAGGTATCTGTAGGATTGTTGAAGGTCTCCCATAAATTTCCTGATTTGCCATCTTGAAGAACAAAGTTGCCTGTATTATTCATGACCCCATTGACAACAACACCAGCAATGGTTTCAGATTTCCATAGCTCTTCACCCTGAGGACTTGTAAGCTCTAGTCCACTGTTAGCCAAGTTCACAGTTGATCCATTAGGTGCAAGCGCAGGCTTATTATCCCCATTTGCATACCAAACTATGGTTCTGTCTGGTATTTTGGCATACCATATTGAGAGCAGGAAAAGATCATTGTTTCCAAGTGGCAGAAATCCAAAGGCAAAATCACCAGATGGAGAAAACCATGGTGAGGAGTTGCCTGCAGTTGCAGTAAGAGAAGCACCGACTGCTATGCTACCGTTAGTTTGAGCAAACACAGAAACTGGTAGCAGAAACAGTGAGGAAAACAGAAGCAGCCGTACAGTAATAGTCATTGCTAATTTTCTAGCACCGATGTGGTTAGGCGTACTACAATATCCGTTCTGGAAATGCGTGTACAACATCTTGCTGTGAGACGGCAAGGTGACAGCGTGACGCAAAGACAAAAACTTTAGAATTTTTTATGATGAATTGGGACCTATATAGTAAGTGCATTATTTTCTATATTTTTACATTTCTTATATTTGGTTTTTGCAGGGAATGTTAATTAAATAGTGCATTATTACCTTACTTTCCTTATTTTCAGCCATTATTAGGGGTGGACACGGTACGGTATGGTACGGCATTGAGCCCGTACCGCTACCGATACCGAAAATTTAAATCGATATGGTACGGTATGAGATTATGGTTTGCCAAAATTGGTACCGTATCGTACCGTGCCAAATCGGTATCGGTACCATTTCGGTACCAAAATGATACAACTAAAAAATGAACTAATTCAATATTCAACACCAAAATAAGTGATGCCTAAGTTACAAATTCAAAGATTCAACACATTCAATATCCAAATCCTAATCAATATATTCAATATCCAAATCCTAATCAACATATTCAATATACAAATCAACCAAATCAATATTTATCCATCAACA